TAAGGGTTTTGACAGAAATGTGCTATATACACAATTTTAAATATACCAGATTTTACTGATATGCAAAAATTTTGCCATTAAAATAAATGATTTCTCAAATAAAGTGTGTTCAGTTTATAGCCACAAAATATGCCATATGGAGTTGTTGCACTCTTAGACTTTTCTAGACAGAATGATGAAGTTACTTGTATAGTATTTGAAGACTTGTATTTATATTTTCAATGGCTATTGGACTATAGCCAGTGACAGCGAACCTATGACACACGTGTCAGAGGTGACACACGAACTCGTTTTTTTGGTTGATTTTTCTTGGTTAAATGGCATTTAAATATATAAAATAAATATCAAAAATATAAATCTTTGTTTTACTATGGTTGCAAATATCAAAAAATTTCTATATGTGACATGGCACCAGAGTTAAGTTAGGGTTTTTCAAAATGCTGACACGCCAAGCTCAAAAGGTTCGCCATCACTGGACTATACCATTGAGATTACATATAGGTGTTTTTCAAGAACCAATGTTCTCGATAGTTTTCTGCAATTTCAAGGTCAATTTCCTCATTGCTAAGTCACTCCCAGGCATTCCATAAGTAAACTATTCCCCATCACTCTACCAAAATTGCTCTATTGCAGCGATTTTGAACTGGTGTGCTGCAAGAATTTTTAAAACATGCAATACCTGACTACTTAGGACACTAGCCTCTTTTCCCTTAGATTGTCAAATAAAAAATGACAGCAGCCAACACAACATCTGGTGTGAATGAATCAAAATTATATCGATTTTTTTGGTCAGATCAGCAAAAATTCTGGTGTGCCTCAGAATTTTAGTAATTAGTTTGTGTGCCATGAGATGAAAAAAGTTGAAAATCTCTGCTGTATATTTTCCATATCACTAAACCCTAGACTTATTGTTCAGTCTGTATTTCACTTTCCTTCAGACCATCGTTTTATGGGGTTGACTCTCCCTCTCTTAAAACACAACTTTCTCCATCTACACTAGGGATTCACTGAGAGATGCATCTCCACTTTCTTCTGTGTTGCTTTGAGACCCGAAGTACTCTGGCTACAGGGAGATAGGTCTTTGGAGCACAGACACATTCCTGAGGGGGAATCTCTTTTTCTCAAAGCCAGATCAACAATGATGAAAGTGAGGAAAGAGGCGTGTGTGTGTGTGTGTGTGTGTGTGTGTGTTGGGGGTGGTGGGGTGGTGGGGGTGGTGTGGTATGGGCCGGGGGGGGTGGGGGGGTGGGGGGGGGGTGGTATGGGCCCCTCTGGCTCCAAAGCTGCCTTCCTGGAAACAGAATAAGCACAGGTTTTCAGTTCTGCCGTTTGCTCTGCACCCCAAGGGAGCTGAGTGAGTTCAAGAGTAGAACATCAGAGGAACAATTTTTTTAATGAGGAATGATGAAAAGGCATTCTCCTGGGGCTTGAGAAACCATAAATACTTCCCTAACATCCTCACCCATAGTTCAATGAGGCCTGACCAGGGGAAGACCTCACTTGTGCCTCTCACAGACATGATTTTGTGACAAGTTCTATCTCCCTACCATTCCCTGGGTGAGTCTGTCCTCAGCATCCAACAGTCAGAGGAGAAAGAGTTTGTATAAATATTTCTGTAAGCATTGCCAGTGGAGTGAGTCCCCTGGCCTAGTGAGTACGGCGTATGAATAGACGTATTAAAAAAGAGGTGAGGGGTTCCTGGCCGGGTAGCTCAGTTACTTAGAGCATCATCCTGATACACCAGGGTTGCAAGCTTGATCTTTGGTCAGGGCACATGCAAGAAGCAACCAGCAAATGCATAAATTAGTAGAACAACAAATCAATGTCTCTCTCTCTCTCTCTCAAATCAATAAATTAGATAAAATGTGGTGAGGGAAGGAGGCAGCATGGTTGATGATGTCCCATGGAAATTTTAGTTTAATCTCTGGAATTTATTTTTCTGGCTATGTCTGTCTTTTTAGATTCTGTTGTCTCTGTTACCTCCAGCTCTGATGGAAACTCATTCTGGAACCAGTGACTTGCTCAGTGTCAGTAGGAATTGTCTCCAGTATAAAAAGTTTCCACCCTCCTGCTCAGAGCTTTCTGTCTTCTTGTGGTACAGCCATTCTCCACGTGTGGTGCCTGAAGCAGTGGCATCAGCACGCCCCGGGGAGCTTGCTGGAAATGCAGAGTCTCAGGCCCACCCAAGACTTGCTGACAGAAATTCCAGAAATGAGATCCAACAATCTGTTTTGACAGATCCACCAGGTGATTCTAATGCCTTCTATAATTGGAGAACCTCTGCTCCAGCAAAGTGTCTGCTTCTCCTCCCCAGCCCCATATCATTTGGTTTTTATGAGGTTATATACTGTACACTATTTTTAAAAAATAATAATAGTGTATTGATTTTTTAGAAAGGGAGAAGAAGAGAGAGAAACATCATTATGAGAACTGTAACATCAATCTGCTGCCTCCTGCATACCCCCCATCAGAGATAAAGTCCCCAACCAGGGCATGTGCCCTAGACTGGGAATCGATCCAGCAACCTCCTGGTGCATGGAATGATGCCCAGCCATCTGGGCCACATTGGCCAGGGCTTAGCTACACTCTTTGATTGAACAAATATGTACTGAATGCTGACTATGTGTCAGGTGTTATCTATGTTGTCATTGCAATTGTGAATGGACCTATTTCCCCCCTTTCCTAATGATGCTTTGCAGAGACAAAGAAAGCTGATGATACTGATTAGTTCTAATTGTATTTAAGTTGACTTTAGTCTTCCCAAGTAGGTAATCATATCAGCAGCTAATCGCCACCAATTTTGTTTTTAAACTATTATACGTGATTACTTTTCTTGTCTTATGGTATTTCTTTTGAATTAGTAGGTACTATATTAAATATTTATAACAACAGGCATAATTTCTCCTTATGAGTTTATTTTGTGTTTTTAGGGTTTAATGATGGATCTTGGATTAATACTTAAAATTTTACTGTTCCCTTCCCATCAATGACTGTTAAATTTTATTACATACATTTATATTGCAACTATCATTATTTCTGTATTGGTCTGTTCATGCAAATACTTTGTTATCTGACTTTCTATTATTAAATATTTTTATACCTTTCAAATGAACATTAATTCATAAGGGAATATGTTATCTCTATTAAGCAGATAGCTTCATCTTACTCCTTTTTCAGTTTGCTGCATCTGTAGTCAATGTGAGATTAACTTGTTGATTTCTTTTATTTTTATTTTTTTTAAATCATTGATTGGCTGCCTCCTGCATGTCCCCTACTAGGGATCAAGCCCACAACCCAGGTACATGCCCTTGACCGGAATCGAACCTGGAACCCTTCAGTCCACAGGCCGACGCTCCATCCACTGAGCCAAACCGGTTTCGGCATAACTTGTTGATTTCTTGTTTATATTATATATTGCTCTTGGTTTCAACCTTCATTCAACTTTTCCTGCTCTTTGAGAACAAACCAATGGATTACCAGGATCAGTAAGTTTTATGACATATGAGCTGAAACGCATAGCTTATTTTCAGTTGTGGGAGGGACAGATTTTTTAAAAATATATTTTTATTGATTTCAAAGAGGAAGGGAGAGGGAGAGATAGAAACATCAGTGATGAGAGAGAATCATTGATTGACTGCCTCCTGCACACCTCACCATGGGTATTTGCCCTGACTGGGAATCGAACTGTGACCTCCTGGTTCATAGATTGATCCTCAACCACTGAGCCATGCCATCTGGACAGGGACAGATATTAATAAAATAATTTCATAAGTAAATGCAAAAACACAACAGTGACTTAGACAATGAAGAAGACTCTAGGAGGCTATAAAAGCATGAACTAGGGGGACTGCACTTGCTGGGCAGGGAGGGTTCAGGAAGGCTTCTTTGAGGAAGTGATATTCCAGATAAGAGAGAAGGATAAGAATAATCACAGGAAGACAAAGGCATGGAGGAGCACCCAGCTGGGCGGGCAGTGTGTGGGCTCTAAACCTGTGAGGGGCCACCTCGGCTACAGAGATTTTTGAAGCCTGACTCTTTCTGACATTTCTTGGATGGATTTTCTTTCTTTTTTCTACCCAGTACTATTGGGCATTGTATGAAAGTGTTTTTAACTTTTACATTATTTCAGGTTTGAAGAAAAGTTGAAAGAATAGTTCCCACGTATATCCTTTGCTGGATCCCCCAAATGTTAACATTTTTACCACCTTAACTTTTATCTTTAGCCTGTTTTCTCTGTCTTCCTTCTGTGTGCATTTGTTTTTTTCCAAACCATTTGAGAATAAGTTGCACCTCTAAATCGTTAGTATTCCCTAAAAACAAGGACATTTTCCTCACACAACCTCAGTACAATGATCAAAATCAAGAAATTTAAAAAAATTAACATTGATATAATACTGTTATTAAAGTTACAGACATCAGTCCTATTTGGACAATTATCCTAATAATGTCATCTATAGCAAAAGAAAATCCAAGATCACACGTTACATTTGGTTAACATCTCTTTAGGCACCTTTCATCCAGAGCAGTTCCTAGGCTTTCTTTGAATTTGAATGCCCCTCATTTTGGCTTTCTCTGATGCTCCTTAACCTGAAGATTGAAGTCCTGTATCTTTGGCAAAAGTCCCACAGTAGTCGCATTGAGTCCTTTCTAGTGCCTCCTACCAGTAGGTACATGATGTTGATTTGTCCCATTTTGAAGCTTCATGACCATCTGACAGGGTTGTTATAAAATGGATACTTAAGATAGGTGGTTAGGAATTCTATGTGGTAGGGTTCCCTTTTGGTTTCATTGTTATAAAATGGATACTGAAGATGAGCGGGTGGGACAAGAGACTCCATTTTTTAGAATTCCATTTATAAGTGAATAGAGACCCGACTCTTAGATAAAATGACAGTCTTTATCAATAACTTGCGTGAAAGGCATCGTCAACATTTCTGGTATGTGGAGGGTGCCAGTTTGTGTTCATTCATGTTGTCCTGGTATCTTCCTTCATAGATATATCAGCCACATGAAAGCAGGAAACAAAACAGGAATTTTAGTGTTCACCCTCCTTGGACTCTCTGAGGATCCAGAACTGCAGCCCCTCATCTTTGGACTGTTCCTCTCCATGTATGTGGTCACTGTGCTTGGGAACTTGCTCATCATCCTAATCATCAGCTTTGACTCCCACCTCCACACCCCCATGTACTTCTTCCTCTCCAACCTGTCCTTGGTTGACATCTGCTTCAGCACCACCATAATCCCCAATATGCTGGTGAGCATCCAGACAGAGAACAAAGCCATTTCCTACATGAATTGCCTCACTCAGGTGTATTTTTCCATGTTTTTTCCTATCCTGGACACCCTACTCCTGACCGTGATGGCCTACGACCGGTATGTGGCCATCTGTCAGCCCCTGCATTACATGGTCATCATGAACCCTCGTCTCTGTGGCTTGCTAGTTTTTATTACTTGGTTCATTGGTGTCATGACATCCCTCCTCCATATCTCTCTGATGATGCATCTGAATTTCTGTAGGGATCTTGAAATTCCACTTTTCTTCTGTGAGGTGACACAGATCCTCAAGTTGGCCTGCTCTGATACCTTCCTGAATAGCGTACTGTTATACTTTATGACTGGTGTGCTGGGTGTGTTCCCCCTTTTGGGGATCCTATTCTCCTACTCAAGAATTACTTCAGCCATAAGGAAGATGTCCTCATTGCAGGGAAGGCAAAAAGCGTTTGCCACCTGTGGGTCTCATCTTTCAGTGGTTTCTTTATTTTATGCGGCAGGCATTGGGGTCTACTTCACTTCTTCGATGACTCACTCTTCCCAGGAAGTCTCAGTGGCCTCAGTGATGTACACCGTGGTCACCCCTATGCTGAACCCCTTCATCTACAGCTTGAGAAACAAGGATGTAAAGGGTGCCCTGGGAAGGCTTCTTAGCAGAGCAGTCTCTTGTCTGTGATAAAATAAATCTATTGGTCCTGGGACTGAGAAGGTTTGTGAGTACCAGTGGCAAACACTTTATTCCGAAGTTCTTATACTTGAATATCTCAAAGGATCTTATTCTTTTATCCAGTTCTTAAGGACCTATGAATTTGCTCTCTCTTAGTTTTTTACACACATTTAAACAACCAATCTCTGAGTAATTTCTTTGATGACTTTTTTGTCCTATTGGTTGTCCAAAAATTATGTCCTTGGTCTTATTCTTTACCTTCACACTCGTGAGTTCTAAACTTGGATTTAAGGCATTTACTATATCTTTGTTATCTCAAATGTTGGCCTAGAGAGTTTAAAGTGTTAACTTTAATTTATTTCTATGTGTTTGATTGTGAATTGTGTTATTTGTGTGTATCACCAACAGTGTTGTTGTTATTTTTACTGTTTTTTTAAAAATAAAGTATAATTAAAATACATATCAAAATAAAGTTGATGTGTTAGTGCTTATTATATGATAAGCATGTGCTGATTTTTCTCTGTTATTTATGTAATCTTCTCAATAGGAAAAATTACTGTCCCCATTTTAGAGGTGATAAAAATGAGACTCTAAGAAAGCTAAAAGCAATACAAAACTTTCCCAAAGTTACAGAGAGACGAGGGACCCAGTGGCAAAAGCAGGATTCAAACCCAGAACGCTAACCCTGAGCCCATAGTCTAATCTAACAGTCTTCACAGTTTTCCACATAGATTTTGATGTTGTGCACATTTCTATTGTGGATTTTACTGCTGATTGGCAATATTTCTAATTATTCTCTCCTATTGGACACCCAACAGAATTGCACTTCCTTTCTCCTTGAAGGTTATGGTGGCAATATGTTTTTATCTGCCCAATAAAACATGAGTGGAATTGATGTGTTCCTTCTAGGCTGCTATATTTAAGAGCTGGTAAATTATTCTCTATATTCACTCTGCCTTTGATATGGCTATTGTGGAATAAGGGTATCATAAGATCAAAATAGTCTAGAAAGCTGGCAAGTACATGTAGGACTTTCCTGGATAGTTACTCAAGTCCATATATAAATTATTTTTTAAATGTAGAATACCAGGAATTCCATTAGTGCCACAATTCATAATCTTTCAGTGTGATATATCTGTGATATTGTTGTGGACCAATGTTCGCCAGAGTAAGACCACCAACTCCAATTAGGTCTTAGCAGCAAGCGAGGATTTATTGAAAGCTGGCCAGCGACTGCAACAGGTCCTCCACACAGGGAGCCCTACCCTGCTACAGCCCCGAGCCTTTCTCTAATAGCCTCTTTAAAGGGTGTCACAAGCTCAACAGCGGCCAGTGTGGTGTCACACCTGGCTGGAGCTTTTTTTTTTTTTTT